CTGGCTGCTTGGGCAAGTCAGTGCCCCTCTGTGCCTCAGTTTCCCCATCTGTAAAATGGGGATAATAATCCTGCCCTGCTTTGCAAAGAGCTTTGAGATCTGCTGTCGAAGAGCTAGGGACTATTGTTATACCCCATTTCTGTGACCACACGATGGCTGTTGTACCTCTCTGACTATGCCGGGGTAGTTAAAACGGGTCAACTTTTGTCTTTAGACAAAGCATGCGCGATCTCCTGGTTTTTAGGGCCCAACTCGTGATTTTGAATGCTTGGGCTGGTCACGCTGAGCGCGTTTTAAATCCTTCCTCTACCGTTTGCCTCAGTTGGGGCAGTTTTATCAGAGCAAGTCTACCCTACAAAACTTCAGTTACGGCGACGTACGGCCACCGCGGTTATTAAATCGCTTCCGCTCGCCCACACGACACTCTCTGTCTTGCATCGATTGACCTGTCAGCGTGGGGCATTGTGGGATGGCTTCTGAAAGGCAACAACAATTGATGTAGTGTCAGTATAGACCAGAGGTGGGCAAGCTACGGCCCGCGGGCTACATCTGGCCCACGGGACCGTCCTGCCCGGCCCTTGAGCTCCCGGCCAGGGAGGCTAGACCCCGGCCCCTCCCCTGCGGTCCCGCCTCCCCTGCAGTCACGCCGCCACGCGGGCAGCGCTCTGGGCAGTGGAGTGGCGTGCTTCTGCCGAGCAGAGCGGCAGCGTGTCTAGCTCCGTCCGGGCGGCGCGGCTGCCAGACATGCTGTTCTGAGCGGCATGGTAAAGGGGCTGGGGGGTTGGATAAGGGGCGGAGGGTTCCAGGGGGCAGTCAGGGGACAGGGAGCGGGGGGGGTTGGATAAGGGGCAGGGGGTGGTTCGATGGGGCGGAGGTTCTGCGGGGGGACGGTCAGGGGATAGGGAACGGGGGGGTTGGATAAGCGTGGGAGTCCCGGGGGGCCTGTCAGGGGGCGGGGGTGTGGATGGGGTCAGGAGACGGGGAACAGGGCGGGTTGGATAGGCGTGGGGTCCCGGCGGGCTTGTCAGGGGCTGGGGGTGTGGATAGGGGTCGGGGTAGTCAGGGGACTGGGAGCAGGGGGGTTGGATAGGGGTGGGTTCCCGGGGGGCAGTTGGGGGCGGGGGGTCTTGGGAGGGGGGACAAGGAGTAGGAGGGGTTGCATGGGCTGGGGGTTCTGAGGGGGCAGTCAGGGGGCGGCCCTCCATACAGTTTTGCAACCCCAATGTGGCCCTCAGGCCAAAAATTTTGCCCACCCCTGGCCTAGACACTGCGTTGCGGACGTCGACCTAAGCGCTGCGCCTCTCGCAGAGGTGGTGTTAAGGCCGTGTAGTGGGCAGGTTAAATCAGTGGGAGCGACATTTCAGTCTAGACGCTTACAGAGTTCGGTTGACGTAAGCTGCCTCGCGTTGACCTAACTCTAGAGTGTAGACCAAGCCTTAGACCGGGCCTGCAATGGCTGAAAAGGGAAAGTTTCCTGTTTCTACTGTACCGTTAAAGGGGAAAACCCTATTCTTATGAACATGGGGGCAGATTGTCAAAGGCCTTTAGACCCCTAAAGACGCAGCTAGACACCTGGGGGCGTTTTCAGAAGTGCCCATGAGAGTTAGGTACTTGGGTGCTTTTGACAATTGTGTTAGGGGCCTGCCAGCATCTTTAGATACCTAAATAATATTGACTAAAAGGTGCAGCCAGGTGTCTGCCTATATTCGTGTAGGGTGGATTGATTTAAATCATCAGGTGGAACGCTGCATTTAAACCCTCGATTGAATCGTCTCATCCATCGTACTTCCTTTATTTTCTAAACCAAGGGACATTCTCATTGCTTGCTAGAACCATTTTAAAACATGTTGATTTACAAGGAAATATACCAAATCTAGCATAAAGGCTCTATCTTTTTGCTACCTAGGAGGGAACACTATACCCATATGTATTTATTTAAGCAGTTATATAGCTTAGTATTTTCAGGTTCTCATTAGTTGTACAGTTTTAGTATATTGGAAAATGGTGAATGATATTGCTTATTTGCTAGATAATTAATATATATTATTTTTATTTTTATTTTTGGCTCATGATTTGTCAAACTGCATTAGGATGGTACCGGGAATGAAATTAAACACATGCAACAGCATATAACATTTATTTTTATTAAATGAAACAAGACCGTAACACAGTACATGACGTATTGTGCCATATTTATAAAGCTTGACCTCAAAAGTTAACTGTTTTTTTCCCTTGATTCTTTCTTTATATGGAAAAACGGCCTTTAACGCGGTAATTTTGATAGAGGCTTATGGATTCAGCATTTTTTGTTTATTTAAATGGTTGAAGAGATTATAAATTTAGGCCTTAACATATATTTTACATTCAATTCAGATTTCGTTTTGAACGAGCTTTTTTTTTAAAAAAAGAAAAACTTGTTCTAATTGAAATTAATAAAAATCAAATTATTTTTATTTTTTCCCAAAAAAATCCATTTTTTTTTTTTTAAATCCACCCTGCACTCGAGGTTTGTTCTTATTTGGTCAAGAGACCAAATAAGCAAACTTGGCTTGATTTATGGGCTAAGGACAAAGTAGTACAATACGAAAAGAAGTGTGCTTCATAGCCTTTCAGCCAGTAGTATTTACAGTCTGATTTTACAAGTTACAAAACTCTGTACTAGCGTGACCAGACAGCAAGTGTGAAAAATCGGGACAGGGGGTGGGGGGGTAATAGGATCCTATATAAGAAAAAAACCCCAAAATCGGGACTGTCCCTATAAAATCAGGACATCTGGTCACCCTACTCTGTACCCATCGCTAAAATCCAACCCACCAGTTTGTACCAGTTCCGTAACTTGGTTTTCTTCTGCCCTTCGCTTATTTCTGGTTTGGAGACTACCTTGCAAAAGAGTTGGGCGTCGAGGTAAATCCTACCCCGTGCTGGGACACGTGGTTCATGTGTCTTGGCTTTGACAGGCATCCTATTTTTAAATCCAAACCTGGCCTCAGCTTTGCAGCATATGATGGGATACGTTACATGGGTGAACAGAATTGTGGGGAGAGCATAATATGTAACTTCCCAATACTTACATGCTATATTAGTAGGAGCATTGCCAGCAGATCGAGGGAAGTGATTATTCCCCTCTATTCAGCACTGGTGAGGCCTCATCTGGAGTACTGTGTCCAGTTTTGGTCCCCCCACTCCAGAAGGGATGTGGACAAATTGGAGAGAGTCCAGCGGAGGGCAATGAAAATGATTAGGGGGCTGGAGCACATGACTTATGAGGAGAGGCTGAGGGAACTGGGATTGTTTAGTCTGCAGAAGAGAAGAGTGAGGGGGGATTTGATAGCTGTTTTCAACTACCTGAAGGGGGGCTCCAAAGAGGATGGAGCTCGGCTGTTCTCAGTGGTGGCAGATGACAGAACAAGGAGCAATGGTCTCAAGTTGCAGTGGGGGAGGTCTAGGTTGGATATTAGGAAACACTATTGGTGAAGCACTGGAATGGGTTCCCTAGGGAGGTGGTGGAATCTCCTTCCTTAGAGGTTTTGAAGGCCCAGCTTGACAAAGCCCTGGCTGTGATGATTTAGTTGGGGTTGGTTCTGCTTTGAGCAGGGGGTTGGACTAGATACCTCCTGAGGTCTCTTCCAACCCTGATATTCTATGATTCTATGTATAATGTATATTAATACCGTGTGCATAATACCCATGAACATGGTGTATACTATGCCTAATATATATATATGGCTAACAATACCTTTGATGCTCTAGCCAGTCATCTGTTTTGCCATTAAGTTTTGCGAATGCTTTCTTGGGAGGGCGGGGGGCTAGCAAACTTGGAGTCGAAGGCAGCTTCTTAAGAGGAATTAAATTCTACAGCCCCCATCCACAGATCTGATTGAATGAAATGTTTTCTTGACAAGGTGTAGGGAGTTGGGTGAAATTGGTGTGGGTTGGTTGGTTTGTAAAATTGTCCGTTTTTGGTGACTTTTTCCACAGGACAATTCTAAGGAAGTATTTTTCAAAAATGTTGACTCTTCTCTTCCCCACCCGTCCCCCCGCACCCCGCCGTTTCAGGGTTGAACTTTTTCATTGTGAGGAAATTTGATCCCCCCCGCATCCCGAACGAAATATCAGAATTTCCCGTGGGATGGAAGTACCCTTGTCCAGACAGCTCTGAGTATACATCGTCTTTTTCCCCTGGCCCAGATCAGCCAGGGAATGTTTTTGTGGAGCAGGGGACCTGGGATTTTGCGGGGGGGGCGAGTTGTCCACCCTATTGGAGATGTTGCCAGCTTGATTTTTCTAAGCTGACGAGTTCTGGCAGCTCCGGTCTGGTTTGAGACACTGGGACGCAGGCCGGCCGGATGCTGAGCAGAGAGGAGATGTGCGCTCTAGATCCGCACAGGGATTCAGGGCTGAGTTAGCAGTCAGGCCAGAGAGAGGGACCATCCTGTTTGTTCGCTGTTCGTACAGCGCCTGGCACAATGGGGGCCGGGTTCGTGATTGGGGTTCCTAGGTGCTACCATAAGATATTTTTATTGCTATTAGGTGAATTACGGTAGCACCTAGGCATTCAAGGATGGACCAGGATCCCCATGGTTCAAGCACTACTGTAATACACCGAATAGCAATAAAAATGTACAGCTCCTAGAACCATAGGGCCCTGCTCCATCACTGGGGCACCTCGGCACTGCCACAGTCCATGTGATTATTTTAATGGAAGCTGGGTACATAATTCCCCTAGTCTGCTTGATTCAGCCAAGGTCACGCAGCGAGCTGGGAGGAGAACCCAGCAGTCCTGGCTTCAACCACTGGATACCACAGCTGGTTCTAGCCTTCCTGCTCGGTCTTGATTTCCCCTTTTAACCGGGTGAACAGGGGCCACGGGCCGTGACCTCACGATGCCGCCCACATATCGCCTCCTGATGGTCAGGATTTATTCAGGCCCTCTTGCCGCGGCTGTGTAATCTCGTCTCTCCCCCCCCATCACTGACGCTGTTTCTCTCTCTCTCTCGCAGTAAGAAATCGGGGCCGATCTTCTCCCGTGCCCCGGCTGGGTACCCCAAAGAAGGCCCCTATCGCCCTATTTATATTATCCCGGACCAGACGGAGCCCTGCATCTTTGCCACCGAGGTAATGAAGATACGCGGTGCGCTTGCGACCTCCCCCCTGCCCCCCTCCCGCTCGTTCCTCGCCACCCCTGCCGATCCCTAACCCAGCCAGCCCTGGCGCGTGTGCTTCCTGCCGCCCCAGCCCCACCCCGAGCCGCATGCCCGCTCCTCTGGGGAGGTGGGGGTAACATGCATGACCCCAAGGTGCATGAAGCTAAGACCAGTGTGTGTATGCGGGGGTGGGGGAGGGGCAGGGGGGTGATTGCAATGGGTAGGAACTGCCAGCAGTGTCTACCCATGGGGGAGGCAGGGGCTGTTGAGGCAGCTTCAGAGCGGCTGCATTGCATGCTGGCAGCAGCGCCCCCTGCGGGCGGCCGCGTATAAGCTCATCACTTTCCTTTCCAGGTGTTTTTCGGGCCGAACGCAAAGCCGGCTGCTTTGGCTGAATCCCGTGGGTCGGGTTGGGATGGCTTGGAGCAGCTGCAGCAGCAGAGCTGTGGTACCTGGGGTGTTATACCCCCTTAATGCCCCCGGGGGGCACTGTGGGGCGTGAGCGCTCACCTGGAACAGGTGCAGTACTGGAGTTAGGGTAGCTGGGGTGGTATATCCCCTAAGGCCCCAAGGGGGCGCTGTGGGGAACGAGCACTGGCCTGGAGCAGGTGCAATAATGGGACTATGGCATCTGGGGCCTTATACTCTGGTAATGCCCAAGGGGGCGCTGTGGGGAGCTATTGTAGCTGAGGGCGTTATATCCTCATATGGCCCTGTGGGGAGTGAGCGCTCGTCAGCACCAATCTAGCCCTTAAAACACCCCTGTGTGTGCATGTGCGGGAGGGGAGAGATGGAACCACTCCGACTGATGCCAGAGTTACCATGGGGGATACCACGCCATCCAAATGGGGGGCAGGGCGGGGAGGGGAGGGTCGACGTGGGCTCTGGGGCGCAGTGTGTTCCCCCGATTGCAGAGTGGCCCCTGGTTTTGCAGCACTGGGTGATGGGTGCAGCGTGCGTACGTGTGGGGACTGCTGATAAGAAAATGGGGACTGTGCTGGGGGGAGGGGGGAAGTTGCACCCGATTCGCTGGCTCCGTCCTTAACACGTAAAAACGCCCCCTGGCGCCGGCGCTGCCGTCCGCTCCAGCATGGGTTAGGTGGCGCTGAGCGCCTGTCCGGGGGCTGGCCGCAGAGCGAGAGGGAGAAACCCAGTGAGAACGAGGGGCTCTCCTCCCTTCCCCTTTGCTGATCAGCTGCTGGGGTCGGTTCGGGGAGGACCAAATTCTTAAAGATCCCTCAGGGCAGCCTGTGATGCTTCCCGGGGTCCCCAGGGCTGTGCGGCAGCTCGCTTCCACCTCCCCTTCGCGTCAGGAAGCTTTGTCTGTACTTGCTGGGGGGTCACCGGCCACCCCCTGTTTAGCCCGCTCAGGTTGGCGCCAGGCAAACGCTTGCCCCCAGGCTTCCCCGTGGCAGGCGCAGCCCCTGGTCCGCTGGCCCCTCGCAGAATTCACAGATCGGCTGGTCCCAAAGAAACAGCGCCCAGCTTCACCTCTCATCGCTGCTTCCCTTCCAGCCCTTGGAGATTTGCAGGGTGAGTGTAGCCATGTTGGTCTCAGGCTATTAGAGAGACGTCTTGATTGGACCGGCGTCTGTTGGCGAAAGAGACCAGCCCTTAGATATGTTTGTAGTGAAATCAAGAATCAGTTCACTTAGCAGATGCCAGTAGAGCAGAAGTCTTGGAAACAACTGGTTACGGGTAAAATAAAACCTTAACCCGCCTGCTCGCCTGAACGAACAAGATCCAGTCTCATCTAACAGACTTTGAGTGAGCTAAACTTCTCCCGGCTGGGCTGGCCGTGATCCCGTTTTAATGAAACCGGACGCACCTGTAGCTGCTTAAATATCATCCTTCTGTACCTCTCGCGCCGGTTAGGACGACCAACGCGTTACCGCTCTGGTAGAGACCTTCCTTTGCCACCGCTTAGGTTGACTTCAGACTCAGCGTGTCCCTGTAAACCCCTCTGCCGGTTGGCCTCAAGGGGTCCCTCTCGGAGTCTCAGTTCATTCTGTAGGCAGGCTCGGTGCGGCCCTGGGGATTATGGAGCCTGAGCCGGGCTGGGCGGGTTTGCGGTAGGTGCAGCTGTGGTAGCTGGGGGTGTAATACACCTGGAATGCCTCCTGCACCGATTATTAGCTTTTGGCAGGGCTGGGGTGGGGCATGGCCCATAGCCGGAGGTGTCCTTGCTGGGGCACTCAGCCCCAGGCTGCACGGAAAGGGCTCTGGGGTTCCTCCCCTCAAACTGAGGGACAGGGGTTCTGCTGGTCTCCAATGGGGCCCAGTGTGGGAAGCACCTCCCTGACTTCCAGCAGCGACGCTCCCTGGTGGGTGTGAGCCTAACTTGGGCTTCTCTTAGCATCGCCTCCACTCAGATCCAGCTGGGAGCTGGGTTGCACTGGGGGGGAATCAGCAAGGAGCCCAGGGCACTCGAGCCAAAGAGTCCAGCAGGGCAGCGAGGGGCGATCGCGGCCCTAATTCCTTCGCTGAGGCCGGCCCAGGCTGCTCGCTGCCGGGAGAGTTCAACCAACCAGCCCCCAGGAGCCTGGGGAAGCCCAGGGAGCATGGAGGGAAGGGCCCTGGTTCTGACGAGGCTACACCTGATTTACCCCAGCTGTAAGGGAGTGGATCTAGCGCCGGATGCAGCTGATGTCAGCGGCACAGGATCGGGCCCTTACTGAGGTCAGAATCGGTCTCGGGTTCCCCCCCCATCACCTCCCTATCCCTTTGTCAAGCTGTCCTGCAGTGGCTCAAGGGCATGATACCAACCTCAGTGCAGGCTGTTAGGAACCAGGGCACAAGCCCTGTACTGATTGTGATTCTATCCTTCGGTCTCACCAACCAACTATCAAGTGTAAATTCCTCAGGCGCTGTAACGGCCTCGGTATGGAGTCACAGACCGTCCCCGTGGGTTCTCTGGTCTCTCTCGCCCTGCAGGTGCACCCACCTGTGTGATAGATGGCCCATGACACTAAAAATCCCAGCAAAATTCAGGTTACTCCCAGTCCCCAAGGACCAGTCGCTTACCCCAGATCAATTGCACTTTAGATCTTGCACCAAAGACAGTGCTCATGGTTTATTACAGGACTGGCTAGCTAGAGATTTATTACACGGGACAAGGAAACGAGCAAGTTCTTTACAAGGTTAAAGCAGGTGCGCGCACACACACACACACACACACACACACACACACACACACACACGTTCCAATCTTAAATTTCAAAACGTAATAGCAGCTCCTATGATACGCAAGCTCTGTGTGTCCTTTGGAGCTAACTTAGGCTGGGGATCTCTTGCTTATGCCTAGTAATCCTTGCGCCCCAGAGTCCAAGCCACATGAAGATCCAATTCCTTCTGATTCGGGGTTTTTTATTCCCGTCCCCGCTTCTGTGCTGAGCTGCAGACTCAGCTGATGGGAGGAATCCACTTGCAAGTCTACTCTCCTCCCCTCTTCATGAAGATGAAACAACACAATCTTTTGTCCTCTTTAACCTTTCACAATAGTTCATCTGGTGTGGCTGGGTGGTCCTTGTTGAGCAGGACATAACGCCTTCAGCTGGAGACCAGCATTTCACAATGGTTAATGACCCTTTCCTCTCTGGTGATTTACAGAGGCTTATAATGCGAACGCTCAGATATTCCCTTACCACGGGGGATACAGATGTTATAAGTGAGACAAATGCCGGCAGCAACTCACGAGCATTCCTTAAAGTCTAAACACATTCTTCTCCTCCTAATGCCTGTTTTAACGATACTAACACACAGGTGAGCCAGGCTGGTCCCAGCCATGTATTTGTCAGTGTTGGCATGAGCTGGCCCCGAGTCTGCCAGCATGCCACCCCCCAATGCAAACACTCTGTAGGAAGGGGTGTCGCTGACACTCCTGAATACTCTTTAGCGTCCCTCTGTTCTTGACAAGGCATTGGCCACTACATTTTCTTTTCCCTTAATACAGATTTTTTTCCATGTTGTACTCCTGCAAAGCTCGGCTCCAGCCTAGTAGGTTGGGATTGGTCCCTTTGGCTTGGTCGCAACCATATTAGCAGGGAGCGATCTCTTAAAATCTTAAATTTTCTATTCGACAGTTAAGGCTTAAGTTGCTTAATCGTCCAAATGATGGCTTAACCTTCCCTCTCCAGGACAGTTCTGTTCAGTGGGGGGGGTCAGTTTTTTACAGGCCCCAGTCCCTATCACCTGATCGGGCTTCCCCCTTTTTTTGTAAGGTCTATTATGGGGCCACAGTGTCACTAAAGCCCTTTCCAGTCCGCTGGTGGTGGTGATCTGCTCCTTGGTTTGGGGGCAGGCCAATTCTGAATGCTTCTACTTTTAAAGGGTCAGGGCGAATAAAGCGGCTGCTCGCCCCGTGTCCTCCGTGACGTACCCCTGCGGCCTCCCATCTTGCCTGTGGACCCTTTGCCAGGGAGGCTGGCTTCTCTAAGCCTCTGCACTACAATTCCCCCATGGCTCAAGTGGTCTCGCCAGGAACCACTAAAAATAGCCAAGTTTTCTACATCAGCCCTGGTGAAGGTCTGCAAACCTGGCAACATCTCACTGATGAGCCTCTGAAAGGGAGCCCCTGCACTGATTAACCCAATGGGCATAACCATAAACTCCTATAGGCCAGAGTCCAGACTTTCTCCTAGGCCACAGCGTCCAAGGGAATTTGCCAATAGCCACGAGTCAAAGCCAGAGTGCTTATGAATTTTGCACCCTCCTCCAGCAGGTCCCCTCTCCGGGGTGTGGCGTCAGGGTCAGGTCGGGTGAAGGGCGTCCACCCTTCTAAAATCTACACACCATCTCCTGGTTTTATCCCTTTTAGGTACCGTCCCAATAGGAGACGCCCCCATCCCTCCCGGATCTAGCCTGCGTTCCACTTCCTCCCGGAGCTGTTGCTTTGGCGCAATGGGGCAGGGCGGGCCCTGTCGTTTCAACGGAAAGCGCTGCTTTGTTAGTTAATCCTGGCTGGTTGGAAAA